GAAAGCAGGGACAGCCAGGGCTGAAAACTGGGCTTTGAGGCCAAGCCAGGTGATTCTTCTGTTATCCCACTTGAAGGGCAGAGGAACTCCATTCTAGCAAGAATGGGTCTTCGAGTCTGACTCCCATTAAACATGACAGTTCTACGAGCTGTGGCGCTTGTTCATGCCTGGAATTCCACCATTAGTGCAATTTCATTTTTACCCAGGCATCCCCTTCTTGAATATAAGGTTCCCAAACAGGAAGAGCATAATACACTCCTAGTACCTAAGTTCCAAGTGGCCAACCTATAGCTCTCAGGCCCTCTGAGATTTGATCAGCAAAATGATTTTCTCTTTTCTGCTGGATTTACTAACATATGGTAGGTATTAAGCCACCAGGGTCATGCCTGACCCCTTGACCCACTTGTCATTGTTAGAGCTAAACAGAATGTGTATTCTAATTTTGAGCTATGTTAGCTCCACTAAAATGATGCTATGAAGTTGGGACGTTATGAAGGATACCAGACCACTGTTATCGAAAAGAAATTCAGGCCAGGCATGGTGGCTCGTACCTGTAATCCTAGCACTTTGGGAGGCCAAGGTGAGCAGATCACCTGAGGTCAGGAGTTCAAGACCAACCTGGCCAACATGGTGAAACCTCGACTCTACTAAAAATACGAAGAAAAAAAAATAGCCGGGAGTGGTGGCACACACCTGTCATCCCAGCTACTTGGGAGGCTGAGACATGAGAATTACTTGAACCCTGGAGGCGGAGGTTGCAGCAAGCCAAGATTGCACCACTGCACTCCAGCCTGAACAACAGAGTGAGACTGTCTCAAAAAAAAAAAAAAAAGTAAAGCAAAAAGAAAGAAATTCAGACCCCCTGTGTGCTTACTGCCAGCTGACCATGGCTCCTACCATGGAGACAGTGGAACACCCCTGCCTGGAGAAGAGTCCTGTCTTGAAGACAGGGCTGATGGCTGGACAGAGACCTGGTAGGCCTCATCACAATGGCGGCTGTCACCTATTTTTTTTCTCTTTGAGATGGAGTCTCGCTCTGTTGCCCAGGCTGGAGTGCAGTGGTGCAGTCTTGGCTCACTGTAACACACTCTGCCAGGTTCAAGCGATTCTCGTGCCTCTGCCTCCCAAATAGCTGGAATTACAGACATGTGCCACCATGCCCGGCTAATTTTTGTATTTTTAGTAGAGACGGGGTTTTTCCATGTTGGTTAGGCTGGTCTTGAACTCCCAGCCTTGGGTGATCTGCCCACCTCGGGCTCCCAAAGTGCTAGGATTACAGGCGTGAGCCACTGCACCTGGCCAAAGAGGGTTGGTTTGTTTGTTTGTTTGAGAGAGTCTTGCTCTGTCACCCAGGCTGGAGTGCAGTGGCGCGATCTCGGCTCACTGCAACCTTCACCTCCCCGGTTCAAGCGATTCTCATGCCTCAGCCTCCCAAGAAGCTGGGATTATAAGCATGTGCCACCACGTCTGACTAATTTTTGTATTTTATTTTATTTTATTTTTTGTAGTGACAGGGTTTTACCATGTTGGCCAGGCTGGTCTCGAACTCCTGACCTCAAGTTATCCACCCACCTTGGCCTCCCAAAGTGCTGGGATTACAGGCATGAGCCACCACGCTCTCACCAATTAGGCTTACTCACTGCCAGGCATTCATCTAAGCACTTTGCATATATTAATCCTGCACTAAAATGGTCATCTCCTTTACAGTTGGGGACATCAAGGCAAAGAGAGCATAAGCATCTTGCCCAAAGTCACACAGCTAGTAAGTGACTGAGCCAGACATCGAACCCAGACAGGCTCCAAGTCTGTGTGCTCTGCTGTTTGCTGTGCTGCCGTGCCTCAGGAGGAGGAGTCTGGTGGCCCCTTCACACATTGGCCAGGGAAGCTATGTTGAGGAGGGACGCCCCCCTTCGCTACATTTCCAGCAGTGGAGGGGTGATCTTTTCCCACTCTGAGCAGTGGGGTGCTGGGCAGCTGTGGGCACCTGTGGAACAAGGAGCTCTGCCACGTCTTTGCTTGGCCCGAGGCCCTGTGAAGAAGCCTTGGAGGCCCACCCAGGACACCTGCCCTGGTTCCTGAGTCTCCCACCAGCACCCTCTGCTGAGACAGTCCCCTACTTGATAACCCAGCCCCTGGTTTCCCAAGGAAGTAGCCTGTCCCAGGTGACCCCTGCCTCCTCAGAGCCTGAGGAGAAATGCCGAAGACAGGGCCACGAGGCCACTCTGCCAGGCTTCTCTCCCCTGTACTTCCCAGCCCTCCCAGGTCCAGCCCCAGAGGGTCGTATCCACCAGGGACCACCCGGTCCTCAGGTGCCTCCTGTGTCCTACGAAGGGCCTGTCTTGGAGACTGCCTGTGCCCTCTGTCACCACAGCCTTAGGCTCAGGCCACCAGGATGCTTCTTTGTTCTCCAGCAGCCCCAGCTGGGGTGGCCCTAGTCCACCCAACACATGCACAACACACATGTACTCAACACACACATCTACATGCACCCAACACATGTACACAATACATACATTCAACATACAACACATACACAATACATACATACACTCAACACACATCCACATACACTCAACACACAACACACACACGCAATACGTACATACACTCAACACACAACACACACAATATGTACATACACTCAGCACACATCCACATACACCCAACACATGTACACAATACATACACTGAACAAACACAACACACACACAACACATACATACATACATATACTCAACACACATCCACATACACCCAACACATATACACAACACATAGCACACATGTATTCAACACACACATCTACATACACCCAACACATGTACACAATACATATACTCAACACACAACACACACACCCAATACATACATACACTCAACACACATCCACATACACCCAACACATGTACACAATACATATACTCAACACAACACACACAATACATACATACACTCAACACACATCCACATACACCCAACACGTATACACAGTACATACACTCAACACACACACACAATACACACCTACACTCGACACATATCCACACACTCCCAACATGTACACAATACATACACTCAACACAACACACACACAATACATACACTCAACACACATCCACATACACCCAACACATATACACAATGCATACACTCAACACACAACACACACAATACATACATACACTGAACACACATCCACATACATCCAACACATGTACACAGTACATACACTCAACACACAACACACACACCCAATACACACATACACTCAACACACATCCACACACACCCAACACGTGTACACAATACATACACTCAACACACACACACAATACCTACATACACTCAACACACGTCCACATATACCCAACACATGTACACAATACATACACTCAACACACAACACACACCCAATACATACATACACTCAACACACATCCACACACACCCAACACATGTACGCAATACATTCAACACACAACACACACACTATATACATACACACAACACACACACCCAGTACATACATATACTTAACACACATCCACATACACCCAACACATGTACACAATACATACACTCAACAAAACACACACACACAACACATACATATACTCAACACACACATCCACATACACCCAACACATGTACACAATACATATACTCAACAAACACAACACACAACACATACATATACTCAACATACATACAGATATACCCAACACATATGCACAACACATAACACATAGGTACTCAATGCACACATCCATACACCCAACACATGTACACAACACGTTCAACACACCCAACACATACATCCAATACATACATACACTCAACACACACATCCACATACACCCAACACACATACACCCAACAACCACACATTACACACACACCTGACACACATACACTTAACACATACACACCCAACACACACACCCCTTGTATCTGTGCTTGCCCATCTCCCACAAGCCCAGCCACCAAGAAGAGACCTGACCGTGGGAACTCAGTATCAGGGGCCTGTCTGCCAGGTCATATGGAAAACATTTGGCAGGTGAGGGTTGACTGGTGAGGCTGGACGGCCTAATAGAACAGGAAGGGGATGATGAGGAGCAGGTGAAGGGGGCCAGGAGGACCGCTGTACAGGATGCTGGTGCAAGCTCCGTCCCCTCCCCACCAGGAGGCTCCCAAGGGGCTAGGCCAGGTGTCGGCATGGCCCTGGTGTTTCAGATGGAGGGCACAGAGGCAGTGGGGGTGGTGACTATGGAGCTGCTGCCCGTACTGTGTGAGGGACAGACCTGGCAGCCCTGCTTCTTCAGCCCCTCTTCTCACACCCCCCGTCTCCAGGGTGGAGATAAAATTCCAGCCCTCAGCAACGTCTGATGCTCCACTTCCAGCAGGAGCCTTTATCTGAGATTAAGGATAATGGATTTCCTTTCTTGGATAAGTATTTTTTTTCTTCCTCTTTCAGACTTTTTGTCCAAAATGCACTCAATTCCAGAAAATGGACCTTTTTTTAACAAGTCTTTTTATTGACTACACTCCCCTCCCCACTTCGTTCCTCCTTCCCCCTCCCCCAAGTCTTTCCGTGCTTCAGAGGAAACCTGCTGTTTTAAGTGCACGGTAAGGAGTGCAAAGGAATGACTCGCCTGCATCTTCTCCCTCCAGCGTCCCCTGGGCCTTGCTCTTACAGCAGCAGAAGCCTCGGTGTCCTGGGGGTTGGGACAGAGAGAAATAACTTGACTTCTTCCTTATTTTTCTTCAGCAATTTCTGCCAGGACCCTCATCTTCAGAAATCTAGATCCTGCCTGGAAGAAATGGGGAGAGGACTTGGTTGGGGGTCCCTTCCTTGGTCTCCCTCTGGGTTCATTGCTGCCTTCTGGGGAAGGGAGGGCCTCCAGTCACCATGCATGGTCTCCATGGGCGCTTGGAGACCTGCAGCCAGGGACAACCGTACATTTATTTCACCTGGATCTTTCTTTTTCCCCCTTCAACAGCCCTATTACCATATTTAAATGCAAGTATGTCTCTTTTCATTGACATTTTAAGTAGCTTAGCCTGACCTTTTTAGAGTAGCATGTTCCCCTTTGAACTTCTTTCCCTTCAGTAGTACCGTGTAGCTAGGACAATAGTCTTAGAGTTTAGTGGGCTTCTAGTTCGCTCTGTTTGGGGGAGCTTTGTCTCTGCTTTCTTCCCTCCTCTGCTCCCTGCCCTTGACGGTGCATGTCTTCCTCTCGTCCTGTAGAAATTCCTTGTTTAAAAGGCTCAGTGGCTAAAGTTGAGCAGCCCTGCTGGGGGCTGTTGATTCAGTTTGCGGCTGGCTTCTGGCACATCATTTAAAACCACAGTCATTGGAAATGGGTCTTGGGGTCAGGCCTCCAAGCATCTGCCTGGATGGCAGAGGATGTTTGTCTTTATATGTATGGGAGTGTATCTGTGTGTGTCCCAGCGCGAGGCTGTGTGTGCACGTGCTGGTGGCTGAGAGAAGCCCGGGAGCGGGGGACTTGGCATACTTCATCTGGAATCTGCAGCTACAAGAAGTTACCTTGGCCCTTCTGACTATTGTTCCCATTGCTGGGACAGCCTTGCTGCCTGGTGCATTTTTAGATAGCATAAAGCCTTGATCAAGAAGAACTCCAGGGACCCCTAGGAAACCCTCTAGTGCCAGTTTCATCTGGTCCATGGGGCTCAGACCGAAGAGCCACATCTAAATTCCCACAATTGCCTCAGGACGTTGAAACACTGAGAGATCAAATAAAGCCATAGGGCTCACGCCACATAGACCCCTGCAGCCCCGCGCTCCCTTTCCTGTCTGGCTCCATGTGTATGCAATCACCTGGGACCCCCAAATGCTTCACCCTTGGGCCTGGGATTGTGATGCTGCTGACTTGATGTTTTGACAAAAGTCTGGAGTTAAAAAGGCCACGCTAACCTGCAGAGCCTTCAGAGAACAGCTGGAATTAAACCAGCTCCTGGCCAAGGTGCCTGCTCTGTCAAGAGGCCGTCTCAAGTGCCTCCTGCCTGTGGCACGGGGCTGACCACTCTGCCACGATCTCTGCAAGGAGCGGTGGGCCAGCCCAGCCATGCTCAGTGCTACTGAAGACAACGCCAGGGGAGCCACCGTGTGTCAATGCAGGGTCAACAGGGAGCTCAACCTCGCTTCTCAAGAAAAAAATTCCTCCTACAATTCTTGAATTATTGTTGTAGGCCTTCTAGAACCAGCTTCTGGGGTGACAAATGGGTGAGAATCAAATGCACCTAAAGATGTTGTGCCTTCTAGAAGCCTGACAGCCACTACTCTGTGTCCCTCTCAAAAGATGCCCTGTGAAAATCCCTTCCCACTCCTGTCTTTGTGTGGAGGGCGGGGGTTGTGTGGCCCGTGACCTAGGTCTGTGCCTGGCCCTTTCAAGGATTCCTCCGTGACACAGGCTCCTCTCTCTCCTGGCCAGGCTTCCCAGCAGCGGCTTACGGACCAGTGGCAGCAGCGGCGGTGGCGGCAGCAAGAGGATCAGGTAGGAAGGTGTATGGGACAGGCGACTCCCAGGCATGCCCCCAGTGTGCAGGGGGAGGTCAAGGCCCTGTCGGATCTGTGTGGCTGCATCTGTCCAACACCACTCTCACCACAGCCCCGGGGAGGGGGTGGACAGGGAGGCGCGGGCAAGGCCTGGCCACCCAGGGCACTTGTAGTGGGGTCAGTCACAGTCATGGGACTGCAAACCAAAGGCAGATTATTATTCTCTGCTAGAAAAAAAAAAAAAAAAACCTGAGTTTCTTTTTGACTTTGACCGTCCCGTCACCTGACAACTAGCTTCAGGTACCTGTGGTCATTTCCCTCCTTGGCTTTTGCTGATTCAATAGGCTCCCTTCCTTGGGTCCCTGAGCCAGCCAGAGAAATGCTAGGCTGTCCCCTGGGTCCCTGCTGCACTGGCAGGTGGGCTTGCTGGATGCTGGCTAAACCCCCAGAGCCCCTGAAAGCAGCCATAGGGCCAGCACTGAGCCTCAGTCAATGAAGCTGCTGTTTCCGGAGCCGCTGTGCCTCCCAGACTCTTCTTAGCCAGACTCCTCGGCTCCAGCTGCCAAGGGAATTGGGCCTTCTGTCCCGTGAGGTTGCTCCAGTCCTTCGGTCTCCAAAGCCCACCTTTTAGATGTCTGGAACCCCTCGAGTGACATGGGAACACTATCCCAGCATTACCATGGGGTCAGGCCAGAGCTGGGACATGTCCAGGATGTCCGGGGTCCCTTTTGTCCCTCTCCCCAAAATGCTTTCTGCCTTTCCAGGCGAGCAGGGCTTCCGCAGTGCACTGGGCTCCCTCCGTACCCCTGCTCCCTGAACTGAGTGGTCATGGTTTGCAGCTCTTGCCCCCTACGCCCCACGGACAGGGCTCTGGAGCACCCAGGGAAGCGCCTAGTTTGATGTCACAGGGCTCTGAGGAGGGTGGGGCTGGGCAGGGTGGGGGGCTGGTGAAGGTACCAGGAAATAGAGCATTAAAAGCCCAGAGGGCAAATGCCAAGAACCCACACCCTGGGTGATGAAAAGTTGGCACAGTGAGGCCCATTAGAAAACTTCAGTAAAAATCCGTTCCATGCAAACTGGCACTGCCTCGAGCTACAAAGGACCCACTCCCCCGAATCATCCACTGGGGTTTTGTTTGGAGGGGGCTAGGGAGTTCTCAGGGGTTGCCGAGGGGCAGTTTGCCAGAGAGCTGGCAAGTGGGCAGACTGGCAGGCAGGTCCAGAGAGTGGGGCCCCCTGCCTGAGCTTCTGCTCACCACAGCCAGTGTCCAAAGGCCCCACCTGCCCTCTGGCCAGTGTCCCTCGGTCCCCCCAGCCCTGGGCCCTGGGGGCGGGGTGCACAGCTGCCTCGTGTCTCCCTGTGCCATTTAGTTTTTTAACTTGAGTGCTTTTTGGTATCATTATAAACAAGCCTCGGCCCTACCTGTGCCTGGGGTTGGGGAAAAGATAAAAGAAAACTCTTGAGATTTTTGAGTGTTGTTGGTTGTTGTTTTCTCCGTTCAGTTTCTTTCTTTTTATAACTTGGATTATGAAACTAAACTTTAACCCGAAATTAACCCTGCCTCTCTCCCCACCCCACCCCGTTCTCCTTGACTTCATGGCAAGTTTAAAGGGCAGCATGGGGTTCTTTATGAATCTGAGAGCCGTAGTCGTCTCCCACGGTCTGTGCCCCCTTCTGCCACCCCACCCTCTCATGGACCCCCAGAGCCAGGCGGGAGTCCCACCCATCCCTCTAACCCCTAACCCCCAAGGTCATCTCCAGCCACACATTTTTTTTTTTTTCAGGATCAATGGTGTTTGATTTGTAGCCATTTCCATCGGGAGCAAAGTCTCTCCCAGCCCATTCTAGGTCAGCCATGCTCATCGCTGCACTGTTAGTGAACTGTATTCAGGAGTGTGCTCCCAGACCACCTGCCCACACCAGCCTGGGTTAGCGCAAGGAGTAAATCCTCAACTCCGAGGTGCCTGCCCCGCCCCACAGGGTGCAGGGTCAGCCTAGAAGCTACAGGGCAACCCCACAGTGCTGCCGGGCACGGGTGTCAGGGGCTTGGGATGTGCCCAAGGGCAATGACTAGACTGTATCCACCATAGTGAGAGCACTGCCTAGGCAGGAAGACACCTGCCTGTTTGTAGCCAGGTTACCCTAGTTCCTCAGCCCCACTTTGGACCTGAAACAGGGTTACAGGTTTGGGAAAGGAAGCACTCTGCCTTTCTTTCTTTTAACGCATTCTGCCAGTAAGGGGACTGTTACCTCACTCCCTCTAGAAAATGCTCGGGAAGCCAAGCCTAATGGGAGGGCCAATTATTTACCTGTGAGTGGCCTCTCAGTGGCAAAAGCTCTTTGCTCTGAATTTCAAGGGACCACACAGACTCACTTGGGTGTATGCATCAGTCTGGGCCACAGAGGGCTTACTGGGTGTTGATGGCCTAGTTTCACCTTCCCCAGCTCCTGAAGCCCTGCCTTACCCACCCCAGTTCCTCCCCAGGGGAAAAGGATGCTCCTGCAACCTCAACTACTGCAGGTCGGCACGAGCTCAACTGCATTCCCTTATAGGGAAACACAGGGAGACATTCAGGGAGGGTCTGTTGAGTACCTACCCTGAACTTGGTACCGTGCTAAACCCGGCAGGCAACTCCAAACAGTAGGAGACGTGGCCTCCGCTCCCCAGGGGTTCTCAGGCTTTGTTCAGGGATCAGACATCATCCTATGGAGGGCCCTTTTTTTGTCTTTGATTTTTGTCTAGCTCCAATGTTTGAGGTTTTTTTTTTTTTTTCCTTCTATTACGACTTCTAGGGGGAGCTTCCTGAGGTGAGAAGCACTTGCTGAGGGCCGTGGGGTGGAGGCAGCTTCGTTTTTGCTCAGGGTAGCAACTTGGAACCGTCAGGGCTATGGTGTCAGGGTAGGAGGTCCGGGGGGGGAGCCTTGAGGTCTGTGCCCACCTCAGCCAACTCCTCTGGGCCAGCCTGCCCCCCTGTTCCTAATTCCCCCAGGACCTGAGGTGAGCAGGGCTCAGGCGACCCCACCAGGTGAGGTCCCTGCCGACTCCTAGATAACTTCACTATCAGTGGTCACTTTTCTTTTCCCTTCACCTGGTAGTTTGAAATGTCATCTTTTCTTGTGCTCAGTCGAGAGTTTGTTTGTTTATTTTGATCGTATTCATTCAGTTCCAGTGGCCCCATCCTGTCCCACCCAAACCTCAATTCAGTTCGACAGAAGCCTCCCCCGACAGTTGAGGGAAGTGGTTTGGATATTCAGGGTATTTTAGTTTGGGGTGACATTATGGGTGGGTCCGTGTATCAATCTTAGAGCTTCTGAGCCCCTGGTACCACCCCGTCCCACCTCTCCCCACCCACCCAGCCCCAGCCAGGACCCCTTACTGTACTTTATACTTGCCAGCTTTATTCCAATCTAGTAACATGAGCTCCTGATGGTGGTGGTGAGTGTGAGCAGTCATATTTCTGTTGTCTTTTCTCTTGCTTGGTTGGGGCTGCGGTGAGAGTGTCTCTGAGGCATACTTTCCCGCCTCTCTTACGCTAGGATCTGCACACCTCCTCTCAAACACTCTTCTGAGCACGCTCAGCGGGAAGGTTTGTCCACACCTATTAATCCTCTCTCAGTGTCCAGCTTCCTGTTAGTACCAGCTGGTTTGCATGTTTTTGCTTGTTCAGATGAAACAGTTCAAGAAACAAACTCATATCCAACTCTCAAGAAATGTCTTTTTTTGTACACTTTCGTTTTTGATTTTTTTTTTTTTTTATTAGTTACAACTCCAAAACACCTGTTGTCCAGTAAAACATTTCACACCTCCCCTGCCTGTTCTTAGATTGTATGTATCTGTGGGACTGAACTAAATGCATGCACTGTAGTAGATGTACTGGTAGCCGTAGCTGTAGTTGTAGTACATGCATTGTTGAGTTGATATTACAGGGTCTTTGACGGCTCGGCACAGCACGGCCGCCTGAAGGATAGTGCGGGGACCAGGAAGAGAAGGGGCTCCATATTTTCAGTGTTTCCAAGGGGCTTGGATCCATGTTCTCACCATCAGCCACCACCACCTCCCCTCACACTCCCTGCTCCCCCGGTCCAGAACTGGGTCACCACCCTCAGCTCTAGCCTTCCCCACTGAGATCTCTGTTGATATCGTCCAATTATAGTGCAAAAATGGAACCAGGATTGGAAGGAGTCTTAAAGGTCTTCCTTGTTCTTGTCTTTCTCATACTATTCTTGAACAGAGCAGATCTTTTTTTATTTCTTGAGGCCTACCAGCAAGACTCCTTCGAGCCCCTCTACTCCTTGAGTCTTTGGCAGGTCACAGCCAGCCCTTCAGGGATACAGGTCTATGTGGCAGCCCTGTCTCTGTGGATTACTTCTTGGGGTGGAGGGGAAATGAGACACGGTAAAGAAGGGATTGAGATCTTGAGATCCTTGGTCTGCAGACAGGGAATGCACTTGGTCCTAGTGAATCATTGCCATTTGTTTTTAAGGTTGGTGAAGTTCAAGTAGGGTAAGAGTGGTGACATTCTTAGCATGGAGGTGACTGGCACAGTTTCATGGAGACAGGAAGGGAGGTGTGCTTGGAACATCCAAGAGGAACCACCCCCAGTTTCCTCCAACTCCCCAGGAAGGCTCCCTAAAGGGGAAAGGAGCAGTCCTGCAGCCTGTGCCCTTAGAACAGGAGCACATGCAGCCAGTTTGGACACACTATCTTCCCTACATTTGTGGTGACAAGCCATAAGGGAGTGCCAGAGGTCTCTCAGAGCTTTTGGAGGTGTCCCCACCCCTTACATGTTGACGCCGAGTGAGTAGTGCCTGCCTCCTGGAACCTGCTCTTTCAGTCAGGGTGTGGTGGCTCTGCCCAATGCTGCAAGAGCATTGATGGAACACAGGTGGGATCTGAACCTTCAGGGTGCAGGTTATCTACTGTGGGAGACAGAAGCCCAGGAAAACGTCAGAGTCCATAAAGTCCCCTGAGAGAATGCGTAGAGATAAAGCAAAATG